AAAAGATTGTTTAAAATATTTTTTTCAATTTTTTTTACTTGTAACAGAATCTAAATATTACCAAAATTTTTTTTATATTTTAATTCTTTCAAATTTTGCGAAGTTTTTGTTTCGGATTCGATGAATAGAATCGATAAAGTATTGATAAACGCTACATTAATAGAAGAATTTTTTGATGTCTATAAAGATTACTGTATAATTAAGAAATGATTTTTGAACGTAAATCATTTGAAAAATATTTTTTAATAGTTATATTTTATTCACTACGTTATTTATTTTATGTATTAGCACATATTTCGATGTTATTTATTTTTTTTTCAATGGTTCTTTTCATCCAAGTTGAGAAGCCGAAAAAATGTTTAAAATAAATATTCACAACAATAATATCCTGATAAGTTTGAGTTTAAATATATTATTGATATACAATTGATATGAATAAAAATTTAGAATTTTTTCATAGTTAAGAAATCATTTCTTAGATATTATTTTTTGAATCAAACGAACATTACTTACTATTCAGAAAATGTTTTCTTAATCTTTAATAGATCATTTTTTAATATTCAAGAAGAATTTTTAATAGTTGTTAACCTATATTTATTAATGCTTATTCTATTTTACGCTTCCAATAACTTATTTTATTTAGCAAATAGTTTCAAATATTAAAAAATGATTTTTATTCCCAAAAAAGCTATTAAACAAAATTTTGAGAAATCAATTTATTACCCTCCAACAAAATCTTTAATCAGTGTAAATTTTTTAATTTTCTTGAAAGAACTATGTCAATGCTAAAAAAAAAAGTTTTTTTCCACCCAGAAAATTTTTCGTTCCAATAAAAAAAAATTAGTATTTTTTCATAGAGAATTCCAAAGTTTTTTTCCATCTCTTAAAAGTATAGTGGTTTTTAAAAAACTCGGTTTCTTCTTCAGCAAAATCCCAAAATAAAAATATGGCTGACTTAACCTTATTCGACACAATGATGTGTTTATAACACAGTGGATCTTTTTTATCATAACTAGGAATTTGAATAGCGCGCTACGCGCGTCTCTTAATTTCAACCAATAGAGAATCAGGTTCCATTTTTTGCGAGTTTCGACTATTGACTAACTTCACACTCTCTTGTATTGTTATTGTAGGGATTAATAAATTATTAATCATTAATTTATCAATTATGATTATATAAAGAAAATAAATTAATTACAATTAAATTAAAAAAAATTAAATCAATTATAATAATTTAATTTAAAAAAATTAAATTAATTATTAATTAAATTTGTCACTGTGTTTGCTCACAGCCCAGGGGTTAATTGGGATGGTCGCCGACAACGGAAATCCCGAATTAATTTTCGAGGCCTATTTTTCGCCATCCAACGAGAATTTAATTAATTCGTTCATTTGATTTAAGTTTGATAATATTCTCGGGGCTCGAGCGAGCAGTCGACGGGGCTGAGTGAGCTCGAGGCCCCTATTAGTTCAGAGTAGACGTGCCTGACGCGTGGTTCAAATTTATTTAATGTAAACTTTCGGTTGGTTTGAATTTATTTGATTAATTGTTTTATATAATAAATCTAAATGTAGAAAAAAGTATTATAAGCGCACGTGCAGATGCTGACTCGGACCATGTCCCGGAGAGAAAATTATTTGGCATTTGGTGAAACTTAAATTTTGAGAGGATCCGGTAGCCTTAAGCCGGTAGCATGCTGCCGGCGAAAAAGGAGAAAATTAGTCACAGGAGGGAATTGTTGCTGTGCATACAAGCGTGTTCCGGCAGTTTTTGTTTTATTTTAAAAAATAATACATTTCTGTTCATTTTGCTTTTGAGTTGACTTTTTGGTTTTCCTGAATTTTTACTGACTAACTGGTAAGTCCTTTAGCTTAGTTTTACGGGGGAAAATTGCCGAATTCCTCTCGGGCGTGAGCCGGCGTTGGTTTCCCACGTGAGGCCGCCATTTTCACCACGTGCGTGAATGCAGTGGTGTATTAATACAATTAATTACAACAATTGTTGTCGTGATAAATTATAAAACTTCACATTTATAATTTATTGATAACCAAACGTGGGTTTGAATTATATTTTAGAGTCAGGGTTGCCTCCGGGGGAAGTACCACGGTGGTTGACATCCCAATAGCGTCCTGTGAATCGCTATTATTTTTTAATAATTTCCTGACGAGATTCGAATATTGATTATTATTATTATATACACTTAGCAGAAATTATTTTTGGTTTATTGGTAGAAATTATTTTTGGTCACCACGAGGCGAGTGGCATTGAAAAGTTTATTATTGTTATTTTTTGGTAAAACTAAGAGCCGAGATTAATTGATTATTGTTATTTATTATTTTTGTCGATGATTTTGAAGATTTATGTTAATTTTGCGCTATGATTTTTAATTATTATTATTATACTTATTGTTAATAATGAGAATTAATAATTAAAAATTATTGTTTATATTTTTCCGATTGTTAAAAATTCATAATAGCAACTTATTTGCTTGATTATCTTTATTGTAATTATTGCTATCAGAATTGTATTGCTAAAAGCTAGGATTAATTTTTTGAAAATTTTAAAAACGAATTATAGGATTAAGAACCTGGTATTAAGCGTGGAAAATTTTCAAGAAAATTATATTATAGTTTGTATACAACAATTACACCGGCACACAAAAAAAATTAAGTAGAATGTGCATTTGACCGGACCTACCTACGGGTACGTATTTTGGTCCGCTGAATCCAAATTCGAGGTCAGTTTGACCCCTACACCCCCAAAATTTCGAGAAAACTTCGAAAAACCGTAAAAATGATAGCCTTAAGCCGGTAGCATGCTGCCGGCGAAAAAGGAGAAAATTAGTCACAGGAGGGAATTGTTGCTGTGCATACAAGCGTGTTCCGGCAGTTTTTGTTTTATTTTAAAAAATAATACATTTCTGTTCATTTTGCTTTTGAGTTGACTTTTTGGTTTTCCTGAATTTTTACTGACTAACTGGTAAGTCCTTTAGCTTAGTTTTACGGGGGAAAATTGCCGAATTCCTCTCGGGCGTGAGCCGGCGTTGGTTTCCCACGTGAGGCCGCCATTTTCACCACGTGCGTGAATGCAGTGGTGTATTAATACAATTAATTACAACAATTGTTGTCGTGATAAATTATAAAACTTCACATTTATAATTTATTGATAACCAAACGTGGGTTTGAATTATATTTTAGAGTCAGGGTTGCCTCCGGGGGAAGTACCACGGTGGTTGACATCCCAATAGCGTCCTGTGAATCGCTATTATTTTTTAATAATTTCCTGACGAGATTCGAATATTGATTATTATTATTATATACACTTAGCAGAAATTATTTTTGGTTTATTGGTAGAAATTATTTTTGGTCACCACGAGGCGAGTGGCATTGAAAAGTTTATTATTGTTATTTTTTGGTAAAACTAAGAGCCGAGATTAATTGATTATTGTTATTTATTATTTTTGTCGATGATTTTGAAGATTTATGTTAATTTTGCGCTATGATTTTTAATTATTATTATTATACTTATTGTTAATAATGAGAATTAATAATTAAAAATTATTGTTTATATTTTTCCGATTGTTAAAAATTCATAATAGCAACTTATTTGCTTGATTATCTTTATTGTAATTATTGCTATCAGAATTGTATTGCTAAAAGCTAGGATTAATTTTTTGAAAATTTTAAAAACGAATTATAGGATTAAGAACCTGGTATTAAGCGTGGAAAATTTTCAAGAAAATTATATTATAGTTTGTATACAACAATTACACCGGCACACAAAAAAAATTAAGTAGAATGTGCATTTGACCGGACCTACCTACGGGTACGTATTTTGGTCCGCTGAATCCAAATTCGAGGTCAGTTTGACCCCTACACCCCCAAAATTTCGAGAAAACTTCGAAAAACCGTAAAAATGATGAAAATCGGCAGTTTTAATGATAACAAAAATTTTTTGGAATTAAACTAAGCGTGATTTTCATGTATTTCGATCCGCTGAATATGAATCGAAACTTTATTAAGACCACGAGCCGTTTTAAATGTAAAAAAATCACACAAACCCTCCAAAATTCCGAAAAAAATCATTTTTTTGGTTTTTTTATTCTTGTTTTTAACTTCTGAAGACTTAATTGCTTATGCCTGTAACCAGGGCACCTCCACGTGGTAACGGTGGGCAACAGAACCATCTGGCAGAGTCCCTGGGTTAACGGCGTGTGTGCCGTCATGGCAGGTACAAGTGATAAGTACTTTACGATGCAGGGAGTCGGAGCCCCAGTATCGGCGTCTGGTCAGGGTGAGAAAACAGGCTCGCAGGCATCGTCATCAAGCGACTGCAGCTCTTCAGAAGTGAAAGTTCTGAATAAAGATGGTGATTGTTTTGCATACTTGACAGAAAAGTTCCCTGCAATAAGTGATGCGAAATTGAAAGAGGGAATTTTTGATGGACCCCAAATACGATCTTTATTTCAGGATACAAATTTTGAAGAAACAATGAACGACACAGAAAAAGCAGCTTGGGTAAGCTTCAAAATGTTTCACAAAACTTTTTGGGAAATAACAGAAGTGAGGATTACAGCACTTTAGTTGACGCATTGCTGGAAAACTACAAAAATTTGGGTTGTTTAATATGAATCTCAAATTACACTTTTTAGATTCTCATCTTGACCACTTCCCTGACAATTGTGGAGACTATAGTGAAGAACAGGGAGAACGTTTTCACCAAGACATCAGTGAAATAGAGAATAGATACCAAGGAAATTGGAGTGTTAACATGATGGCAGATTTTTGTTGGATGTTAAAAAGAGAAGTACGCGAAGAAAATCGTAAACGAAAGAGGAGAGAGCGATACAAACGAAGGAAAGTTTAGGATTCGTAAAAATCATTTCTTTCTATCTTTTTATGTCTTGTGTATTTCACAGATTTCTAGTTATTAAATATATCTACGTTATAGAGTATTTATTTTAGGCATTAAATCATGTTCAATCAATTTTTTTTCTGTTATGAATGGTAATTTTTACAATTTTTTCGAATTTTTCCAGCTTTAGAGGGTAAATAGACTAAAAAAATTAACATGCGAATTGAAGACATCAAAAAAAAAAAAATTTTATCTGAATTGGACCAGAAAAAGTTTTTTTATCATGAAAACTATATTTTTTCGGAATTTTCGAGAGTTTTGTGTGATTTTTTCACATTTAAAATGGCTCGTGGTCTCAATAAAGTTTCGATTCATATTCAG